AATGTTATAAAATGGATTACCGGGACGATTGTACAACTCAGTGAGAGTATACTTTTAAAACTATTGAATTGTGTCTTTTAAATGGGTAAATTGTATGGTATGTGAATTTTATGTTGATAGAGCTGTTTTGCAAAGAAAGTAAGAGAATGTTTTAAAATTCAGGATGATAGTTATTTGGAGAAGGGACTTGAGATCAGGGCAAGGCACACAGTACTCTTTGAAGGTATCAGTGATAGTGTATTTCTTCACCTAGGTAGTAGGCACATCAGTGGGATTTTTATTGTTATTGTCTGTTTTATACACATGTCATACCTTTTCGTATATTTAATTTTAACAGAAATTTTAAGAGAAGCACTATTTTTCATATTATTCTATTCTCATGCCTGTTGTGATCAAGTTTAACATAGAATATTGAACTTCTAGTGTAAATCTAAATTAGGACCAGTTTTCATCCAAATATGTCCTGTTTTTAAAAATTACTCTTTTTGTATTAAAATTTCAAAAATAAATAGAATAAAAAGGTAACTATCCCATTATATAGTCTGTGGGTCAGGATATACTTAACTATAACCTGTTTGCTTTTCTTCATCACCTTGCAACCACCCTAATTCACCTGTTACATTTTTTGACATTATCTTAACTGTATTCCTTGCTTCCTGTCTTGCAACTCTCCAAAAAATTTTCTACTTTGTAGCCAGAAATATCTTTTGAAAATACACATATTAGTATGTTATTTCTCTGCTTAAAATTTTTTAGCAAAATCTCTCTCTCCACTGTAGAAAAAGTCTATGGATAAAGACTGAATTCTTTAAGATTACCTTCCAGGGCCTATATAATTTGTCACTGCTGCTTTTTGCATCAGCTTCCACGCACACTCGTTGTTGTTACCACACATATCAGGTTCTATTGTTAGCTTCTAAGTACTTTGTACATGCCATTTTCTCTGCCTTGAATATTCTTCCTCCCCTCTTTACCTCTGTATAACACCTACCGGTTATTCAGGCAGAAGCTTAGATTTTTCCTTCCTTACAGAAGTCTTCTCTTAACTACTCCTGTCCTCCCTTACCTAAGACTAAAATGCCCTTCCTATTGTTCCTGAAGGATTTTTGCTTCATATACATTTACATTTATTTAAAATATGTTTTATATTTTATATACATAAACAAAAACAAGGCGCTAGGTAACATGCTGAATCAGATACATGAGAGAAAATAAACGAAAAATCAGTCAACTTGTATTTAGTGTTTGTTATCAGACTTTCTTTTCTTTATATCTTCTGTCATCCTCTTTCAGTTCATCTTAGACTATTATTCCTGAAATAGTGCTTTGTAATATTAGTAATAGCAGAATCCATTAATCATCCCCAATGCCTTAAGAATACATTCTAGCTCTTTACAGTGAATTCATGACTTCTACTGTCTAATTCTAATGTACTTTTTTAAAGGAAAGATGGACCAAGTATTTATTCAATGCCTATTATGTACTAGAGTATACTGTACATTATATTTCAAAGATTATGTTAATCCTTTTAACAACTCAAGTTCTGGAAACTAAGGATTAAAGAAGTTTAATGATGAAGACAAGATTACACTAATAGTAAATAGTAGTACCAAAATTCAAGCACAGTTTATCACAGCAGTTCTCAAACTTTTCCATGGATTAGAGTCAACTAGAGAATTTGTTAAAGTACAGATTACTGGACCCCACCCTCCCAGTTTTTTATCCAATATATCAGCAACGGAGAGGAGGGGGTAGGGGTAGTATGGGAAATTTTGCCTTTCCAACAAATTCCTATATGATTTATATGTTTCTGGTCCAGAGACCACAAACTGAAAAATACTAATCTATCAGACAGCAACATCTTTCCACTGGTCCTTCTTACCTCACATTACTCCTCTATAAGTAAGCAAATGGATGCTTGCTGGTGAGAGACAATACACTCAAAATGCACCTGGTACTTTTTATAACTCTGTGCTGTTGCATTATTGTTTCCCTCCTCCTAAACTGCCCTTCTTTTTGGTTTTTGTTTTGTTTTGTTTTTTTGAGACGAAGTCGTACTCTTGTCACCCAGGCTGCAGTTCAATGGCATAATCTTGGCTCATTGCAACCTCCACCTCCCAGATTCAAGCAATTCTCCTGCCTCAGCCTCCAGAATAGCTAGAATTACAGGCACCTGCTACCACACCCAGCTAATTTTTTGTATTTTCAGAAGAGACAGGGTTTCACCATATTGTCCAGGCTGGTCTCGAACTCCTGACCTTGTGATCCTCCCGCCTCGGCCTCCCAAAGTGCTGGGATTAAAGGCGTGAGCCACCACACTGGCCTACTTTTTTTTTTAACCCATGGTACTTTATACCAATTTGTATTACTACTAACTATCTTGTGTTGTAGTTGTTTATATGCTTTAATGTTCTACATTTTACATTTATAAACTTCTTAAGCATTTGGGTTGCATGTACTCCATAATACTTAGTACAGATCTTTAGCTATTTGATAAATATTGGAATATGCTAAAACTTTGGAGCTTATAGGTTTTAAATTATTGAATGATATAATGTTTGTGAAAATACTTTATTAATCCTAAAGCATTATATAGAAGAGAAGTACTTTCTCCTTGCAGTGACTCTGGACATTCTGTAGGTGAAAAAGTATATCTCAAAATTAATTTTTAAACACTTCAAAGAGCTCAGGGAAATGAGAAAGAATAAATCTATCTCTGATCTCATGTTTTGCCAAAATAAAAGGCAAAAAAAATTGATGGGAAGTAACAAATGTAATCTCCTGGCTATATAGCAAAACCTTTAATTATATCACATATGCATACATAAACACACACACAGAAACATAGTGGTTTGGATATAACTGTTGATTATATTAGCACTGCTACTAGCATGTCAACCTAGAGCAAGTGAAGGATTATTGGAGACATAAAAAGCCTGGATTTGATTACCAAAAATTAGAATAAAAAGAATGAACTAAGTTTTCACTTGCCACTAACCTTCTAATCGAGGGAGTTACGACTTTCTTGGAAAATAAAATCCAACACATTTCATAATATGTGATAAAATTGTCACAGTGATGTCAGTAAGGATGAGTTCATGGACATTAATAAACACAGGATGGGATGAACTTACTGTATAAAGTTACAAAGATCCCAGAGCCATGTATTAATCAAATTCTTTGTACTCCAAATTATTTGTCCATATTTTGTAGGTAACTATATTTGTCTTTCCTTCATAGTAATGTTGGGAGGATAATATGCAGTAATTGTTATGATAATATTTCTAGTTTTTAGAAGGAAAGGTGCTACAAACTTCTGGATGTAGCTAATACTGTATTCTACAAGGGGTTATTGTGCTCTTAGTTAAAATTCTAGATTTATTCAGTAAATTGCTAGATTTGCTTACATGAAAATAGAGAACTTAATATTGATGACATTCCAATCATATTACTGGTGATATAATCAATTAGCTATCATATTGACAAAAATGTACAATGTAGCATTTTAGTTTGGAAAGAAAAACAAAATTCCCAAGTAAACAGGAACATATTAAGAACTATATAATTACCCAGTGCCATTATGTCACTAAAGTACTTTATCCAATTCTGACTGCCAGAACTAAAACACATTTTGAAGAAATATCATTAAGATTAAAGGTCATAAAATAGCCTTAAAGTTTTTAATGAAACACTGAATAGTTTTTCTAGTAAGAAGAAGGCCAGCAGTAAACAGTTTTGTATATATGGCAAGTTGTAAATAAATGGCAATCTTCTCTTTCAGATCGTAAATAGGACAAGAAGAAAAAGTAATAAAATATAGGACAGTTTTAGTTTATTTCAAAGAATAAGAGTGGTTAAAGAAAATCTCAAGACGTTCAGGGAAGAGTATTCTTACATTACTTTAAAAATACTGTAAAATTTTAAAAATAGCATAATCTCTTTGTTTTCAAATTATGAAAATGAGATAATGTTACCAGATCAAAGTAGCACAGCCAGCCAATGACAGCATAATTCCAGCTCTCATATGAAATCTAGGCCTTTGATCCTTGACTCCAGTCTTCCACTGCTTTTCCATTTTTTATATTTCTTAACCAGTTAGTTTAAATGTGGCCTGGAAATTGACAATTATCTCTGAAAGACTTTTCTAGCTTAAAATGCCTGCGATTGGCTGGGCGCGGTGGCTCACGCCTGTAATCCCAGCACTTTGGGAGGCCGAGGCGGGCGGATCACAAGGTCAGGAGATCGAGACCACGGTGAAACCCCGTCTCTACTAAAAATACAAAAAATTAGCCGGGCGCAATGGCGGGCGCCTGTAGTCCCAGCTACTCAGGAGGCTGAGGCAGGAGAATGGCGTGAACCTGGGAGGCAGAGCTTGCAGTGAGCCGAGATCTCACCACTGCACTCCAGCCTGGGAGACAGAGCAAGACTGTCTCAAAATAAATAAATAAATAAATAAATAAATAAATAAAATAAAATGCCTGCGATTATCAATGGGTCTATTAATGAATGAGCTCTCCAACCTCTTCCCTTCTGCCATTCACTTGTGAAAAACCTTGTTTTACTTTAAAACTTATAGACTTCCTGACAAGCAAGACCTTGAATCTAAATCTTAAGTGCTTTTTGTGTTAGACTTTTGAACATAAATAGCACTAAGCATTTTTAATACACTATCTCAAACTCTTAAACAATTGTATAAAATATGAAGAAGCTGAAGTTAGACAAAATAGGCAATTAGACTTGGTCAGATTACTTAAAAGTAGGTAAATTATTCTGATTCCACATTCAGTACATTTTTTCCAATTTGCCATACTAACCATAATGTAAAAACTTCAACCAGAATGCCTAATTTGTATAGCAAGCAGTGAATGTCTTAAGATAACAATTTTATTCCTAAAACAGTTGTTCACATGTAAAGTAAAATGATTGTTCTTTGTTGTTAATGTATTTAAACCAGACATTCATTGCAATTTAGTATTCATCTACTTTCTCTTTTCTTTCAGGCCTGTATGTGGAATCAGAGGGAAAACGCTCATAATTAACCTGCCAGGTAGCAAGAAAGGATCTCAGGTAAATCACCTGGACATATTAATATTTTAGTGTAAGAGATTTTGACCAGCTGTGAAAGTTAGCCAGCCAAAAAGTTGGAGCACTCCACAAGACTGCCCTCACTTCTGATACCAGTTGCAGGATTCCCAAAGTCACTCTTGGATTCAGTAATTCAATGGAAAGACATAGAACTCACTAAAAACTGTTACACTTACAAGTTATGGTTTATTATGGGGAAAAGATACAGATTAAAATCAGCCAAGAGAAGAAGTGCATAAGACAACATCCAGGAATACTACCAAACACAGAGCTTCCCTTGTCCACTCCCTATAGAGTCATGAATGCTTTACTCTCCTGGCATTCGTGTATGATAATATACTTTTAATATTGCCAATCAGAGAAGCTCACCTGAGTTTTTAATGTCCAGAGGTTTTTTGTTGTTGTTGTTGTTGTTGTTTGGGTTTGTTGTTGTTGTTGTTGTTGTTGCAGTTCATCATATTTTGCCCATATGAATGACCTTTAGTCTTTAGTGCTTCCCAGAGATTGGATTGATAGCATTAGTCTCCAGTACGTTCCAGAACTGACACCATGTGGCCCAAAGTCCCAATCATAAGTCATATTGTTAGATTGTATGGTGACCAAAGCCATCAGGTAAACAAAGACATTGCTGTCACACATGACATTCTGAGGACCTAGAGATCTCCTCCAACTAGTTAAGGGCAACCACTTTTACCCTCAGACTCTCTTAGGGTACTGTTAATTCTTCGCTCTACAAGCTACCCCCTGGCCTTTGGCCGAGGCTTTTTTTATTGTACAGCAACACAGTCATGTTTGTCTGGGCATCTATATTTACTATGGCATTTATGTGACAGACACAGCAGTAGTATCAGTGTGAATATGCCTAAGATTTGGCTGAGGCAGTGTAGGGTATGATTAGATTTAGAGAAATAGCTAATCCATCCACTAAAGCCATTGCATACATTTTCATAATTTTGTATAAATTCAATAATTTCTCACCTTAATCTACTACCAAAACTACTATTGATATGTTTGTACAGAACTATATATCATAGAAATTAGCTGATGGTTACCTAAGTGCAGTTCTTCCTCAAGCCAGTCATTTTCTATTGACATTATATCCTGAGGAGGCTTTAATTGAATTTCCCAATACACTTAGCCATAACCTAAAAAATAAAAGTCAAAAGATACTGGCACATTCTTAGAGTCCTTCTCAGACATTAACAGACCAGAATGTCTCCCAGAATGATGCTAATCAGGTTTGCAGGCTTATTGGATTCCAAAAATAGGAGTAGTCTCAGCAACATATGACCACTCTTTCAAGCATCTGTTACAGTTGAGCTAAGAAACAATGTCATCTCTTGTTCTGAACCTCTTTGGAAATACCAATGCAGTATTATTTCCCTTACTGCATAACCTATCCATTCATTCCTTTACCCTCAGCTACCATTCCTCCTTCTCTCTATTTATGCCCAAACTTTTCCACCTTTTAAAGAGTTGTGAGGTTTGGCCACTGTGCTAATTCAGATTGCCATTGGTAATACTAGTTTAGCAAGTTCCTCCTGCACAGTCTATTCCCATTCATATAGAGTAGGATTGTATCCCTTACTTTCATTTTAGCTAGCATAGATAACAATAACCAAGAGATTGTGTGTTTAGCTTCTTTCTTTATATTCTTCATCTCCTTATGCATCCAGTGAGACAACTTTTTGGGAATTATCTCCATTAACTAATCAGTACAGAAGCAATTCCATACTGTGGTTGACACTGCCTTCATTCAGTGATCAAAGGTTCATCATCCCACACCCTCTCTTCACTTCCTAAGCCATTTATTTCAGTGAATCAGGGTCTTTCTAGAAAATCTTATTTTTGACACCAACTGTAAGGAGTTTTAGCCAACTGCAAAAAATAGGAACCTACAAATGTCAAGTACTCCACAAAATTGCCCTCACTTCTAACCCTAATTGCAAATTCAGGAGATCCTAAAATGACCTTCAAGTTTAGTAATTTACTAGCATTCATGGAACTCACAGAAGGCTGTTATACTCATGATTATTGTTCATGCAAGGAAAGAATACGGATTAAAGTCAGCCAAAGGAGGAAGTGCATAGGACAGAGTCTAACAGAAGTAACAAATGAGGAACTTCTGTTGTCCTCTCTCTTTGGAGACATGGACATACCACCCTTCTGGCATCAGTTTGTGATACCACACATGGAGTAATGCCAGCTGGGGATGCTCACCTGAGTCTTTGGTATCCAGAGCTTTTACTGGGACTCAAACACTTACTGCCAGTGTGGCTGACCTGTAATCTTGAATCCTAAAGTAGAGAGAAGCACTTGGGGGCCTTCCATGTAGAAAGTAGGGTCAGAAGGCCGAGCGCAGTGGCTCATGCCTGTAATCCCAGCACTTTGGGAGGCCAAGGCGGGCGGATCACAAGGTCGGGAGATCGAGACCACCCTGGCTAACACGGTGAAACCCCGTCTTTACTAAAAATACAAAAAATTAGCCGGGGGTGGTGGCGGGCGCCTGTAGTCCCAACTACTCAGGCAAGCCGAGATCGCACCACTGCACTCCAGCCTGGGCGACAGAGCGAGACTCCGTCCCCCCCGCCAACCCCATTAAAAAAAAAAAAGAAAGAAAGTAGGGTCAGAAGGCCAAGAAAGGGAATGTGAATATATATCCAATTCACTTAGGAACTTTTATGCAGGTGCAAAAACTTATGTCAAAGTAGTCACAAGATTGTTTAATAGACAGATGAATGAAACTCCATGTTTACTGCTAGACACCAAAGCTTTGTGTGAAATCTTGAATTAATAGAGAGAGAGGAAGGGTAGCCTAGACCTGTCTGTTCTTTTCGTGATCCCTTCCCCTCATTCCTGAACTGCAGTCTAACATTGTTAGACTGTCTCTGGTGCCCAAAGTCCATAGGCAACAAAGACATTCCTATTAGGCATGAAATTCCAAGGACCTAGAGATCACTCCCAGAAGCTGAGTGTAAAGACCAGACCTCTCCTCGGTCAAGGTTAAATTCTTTACTACACAATCTTTAACGAGTAAACTGATTGAGCCATACACAGATAGGCCAAAAGATTAGGCATCTTTCCCGATATTATGTAACCCTCCAAAAATTTTTAAGATTTTTTTTTTTACATCTTAGATTTTAAGCTATTACTTCAAATGTGAAAGAGAAAGACCTCCACCTATTCTGCAAATATATCTGGCCTTATGTTCTGGTTTTTAGGTTCTCACCTATTCTCTTTTGGTGATATATTATAGATAATAGTGAGCACCTCAGCAGCAGATTATATTAACTTTATGTAGTGCTCTTTACAAGCTTATTTTATATTTTGCATGCTGTACGATGTTACCTAGCTATACTTTATGATGGTAGTTAGAACTTTAGCTCTCTGGACAAAATAATCTGATTCCCACATAGGTTGTTAGTTCTACTGCCCTGCTCTAACTAAAAATATGAAACCTCTTTCCTGCCTCTTTTTAAACAACTTCAGTACCAATAAATCTTTATTTATTCATTGTATTTTCCCCAGAAAAGGAGAAGGGATAGGAAAAGAGTCAGCATGTGTGTTTAAAAGAAAAATGATTAGAAGATGGGAAAAGAAGTAGACAGTATAGCAACATCAACCTTCAAATAAACATTCCCCAGTGGTAGGGTCACAGAAGCCCAAAGGGGCTCAGTCTCCTGCAGTTCAAGAATGAGGGGTCGGGATTAGGAAAAATAACAGACAGGTACAGGCTACCCTCCCTCCCCATAAATTCAAGATTTCACACAAAGATTTGGTGTCTAGCAGTAAACATAGAGTTTCATTTGTCTGTCTCCTATTAAACAATCTTGTGGCCACTTTGATGTAAGTTTCTTGCACCTGTGTAAAAGTTCCTGAATGCCTTGGATATCAACATTCATATTCCTTTACTTAGCCTCCTGAGCCCACTTTCTGCACTGAAGGCCCCCAGTTGCTTCTCTCTACTTTTGGATTAAAGATTAAGTAGATTTGGCCAGGCGCTGGGGCTCACGTCTGTAATCCCAGCACTTTGGGAGGCCAAGACGGGCCAATCACAAGGTCAGAAGTTCAAGACCAGCCTGGCCAAGATGTTGAAACCCCACCTCTATTAAAAATACAAAAAAATTAGCCGGGCGTGGTGGTGAGCACCTGAAATCCCAGCTCCAGCTACTCAGGGTGCTGAGGCAGAGAATTGCTTGAACCCGGGAGGTGGAGGTTGCAGTGAGCCGAGATGGCGCCATTGCGCTCCAGCCTGGGTGACAGAGTGAGACTCCGTCTCAAAAAAAAAAAAAAAAAGATTAAGTAGATTTGACCCATCCAAAATACAACAGTGTCTTCAGTGTTTGGCATGAATCACATCAAGAAATGGTCTTGACTCAGGAGGTTGGAAACAAGGAATGGAGGGCTCCTAGTTTCCTCAGGATTTTTGCATAAATCATTTAAGAGTTGTAGAAATAACCCAAGAATTAAATGTGTATGTGTGTGAGTATGTAGGTTTTCTCTTGGGGAGGAAGGGATGGAAAAGAGGGTAGTATACAAGTTTTTAGAATATATTTATTTATTTATTTATTTTTAGAGACAGAATCTCACGGTGTCACCCTGGCTGAAATGCAGTTACACAATCATAGCTCGCTGCAGTTTCAAACTCTTGGGCTTCTTTCCTATCTTTTCTGTCTTTCTCATAATGCATCTTTAAACTACCAAGTTGTATATTGAAATTTTACTTTTTAAAAAATGCAGTGCATGCTTTTCTTTTTTTTAAGAGAATCTGAATCTGACCATCCATGCCTGTCCTCAATCTTTTTTTTATTATTTTTCCATAAGTTATTGGGGTACAGGTGGTATTTGGTCACATGAGTAAGTTCCTTAGTGGTGATTTGTGAGATCCTGGTGCACCCATCACCTGAGAAGTGTACATTGCACCATATTTGTTGTCTTATCCCTCAACCCCCACACTCTTTCCCGTAAGTCCCCAAAGTTCATTGTGTCATCCCTATGCCTTTGCGTCCTTATAGCTTAGCTCCTACATGTCAGTGAAAACATACGATGTTTGGTTTTCCATTTCTGAGTTACTTCACTTAGAATAATAGTCTGTAATCTCATCCAGGTCATTGCAAATGCTGTTAATTCATTCCTTTTTATGACTGAGTAGTATACTATGATGTATCATAGCTTATCCACTCATTGATTGATGGGCATTTGATCACGATTTTGCGATTGTGGATTATGCTGCTATAAACGTGTGTGTAAGTGTGTTTTTTGAATAATGACTTCTTTTCTTCTGGGTAGATACCTAGTAGTGGGATTACTGGATCAAATGGTGGTTCTACTTTTAGTTCTTTGAGGAATCTCTGCAGTTTTCCATAGCTGTTTCACTAGTTTACATTCCCACCAGCAGTGTAGAAGTGTTCCCTGTTTACCACATCCATGCCAACATCTACTGTTTTTTGATTATTTGATTATGGCCATTCTTGCAGGAGTAAGGTGGTATTGCATTGCAGTTTTGATTTGCATTTCCCTGATCATTAGTGATGTTGAACATTTTTTCATATGTTTGTTGGCCATTTGTATATCTTCTTTTGAGAATTGCCTGTTCATGTCGTTAGCCCACTTTTTGATGGGATTGTTTCTTTGTTTTTTCTTACTGATTTGTTTGAGTTCGTTGTAGATTCTGGAATTCAGTCCTTTGTCAGATGTGTAGATTGTGAAGATTACAAAACACTGCTGAAAGAAATCATAGACAACACAAACAAATGTAAACACATCCCATGCTCATGGATTAGCAGGATCAAGAATGTGAAAATGACCATACTGTCAAATGCAATTTTCAAATTCAATGCACTTCCCATCAAAATACCACCATCATCCTTCACAGAGTTAGGAAAAACAATTCTAAAATTCATATGGCACCAAAAAAGAGCCCGCATAGCCAAAGCAAGACTAAGCAAAAAGAACAAATCTGGAGGCATCACGTTACCTGATTTCAAACTACACTGTAAGGCCACAGTCACCAAAACAGCATGGTACTGGTGTAAAAATGGGCACATAGATCAATGGAACAGAATAGAGAACCCAGAAGCAAAATAAAAAACTTACAGCCAACTGATCTTCAACAAAGCAAACAAAAACATGAAGTAGGGAAAGGACACCCTTTTCAACAAATGGTGCTGGGATAATTGGCTGGCCCTATGTAGGAGAATGAAACTTGATCCTCAACTCTCACTTTATGCAAAAATCAACTCAAGATGGATTAAGTACTTAAACCTAAGACCTGAAACTATAAGAACTGTAGAAGATAACATTGGAAAAACACTTCTAGACATTGGCTTAGACAAGGGTTCATGACCAAAAACCCAAAAGCAATCGCAATAAAAACAAAGATAAATAGCTGGGACCTAATTAAACTAAGGAGCTTTTGCATGGCAAAAGGAACAGTCAGCAGAGTGTATGTTTTTATAGCACTGTAGTTCCTTAGCTTATGGAGAATACTGTAATATATGTTATGCTTACTTCATGGCATATTGCTAAGACAATGTTTTACATATGATTCATTCTTGAGATTGATGGAGGGAAATGCAGATCCAAAATCACAAAACAATTTGATTGCCACCATCTTATATAATTACAAAAGTGCTTCATCTTAATTTTTTTTCTTTCTCTTGCATACAGGAATGCTTTCAATTCATACTGCCAGCTCTACCTCATGCCATTGACCTTTTACGTGATGCTATTGTAAAAGTAAAGGAGGTGCATGATGAACTTGAAGATTTGCCTTCCCCACCACCCCCTCTTTCCCCTCCTCCTACTACCAGCCCCCATAAACAGACAGAAGACAAAGGGGTTCAATGTGAGGAAGAGGAAGAAGAGAAGAAAGACAGTGGTGTTGCTTCAACAGAAGATAGTTCCTCATCACATATAACTGCAGCAGCCATTGCTGCCAAGGTAAGCCTGATGAGAGATACTCAAGAGGCCTAAAGGACCCACAGGTAAATGTACTGGTTTCATCTGTTTTCTATCACATCCCTCCCTACATTTAATACTTCTTCAGAGAACCCTAAAAAAAATAACTGGGATGTCCATGACACTTCACTACTATGTTTCCTTCTTGATATAGATTCCTTGAAGGCACTGAAATTTATTCTGAGTTCTGAGGCATTACTGATGAGCTGTTGCCTATTGAAGTAATAGCTACAATGATATACAATGTGACATTTTAGAACTCTTTGGAGATGTCATTTTTGTGGACATATTAAATATATAAGGTTTATATATTCAAAATATCAAAACTTCACAAATTCTTGAAGGAACAGAAAACTGAAGGTAAAAGACCTTAGATGATTCAAGAAATTAGTTGGGAAAGATTAATAAAGATTTTTAAAGGGACAAAGCTTTTCAGCAATTGTTGAATTTTTCTTAACTAATAACTTATTCAAATATTGCTTGACCCAAATTACCCTAGTGGCAAAGATAGGAAATGGATATATTTGCATCTTTAATTTAATAAAGTAATAAATATTAGGACAATACCAAAGTATTACAAATTCTCTTTGGACAACTCCACGGGTAAATATACTACCATGAGTTACTTGAGTAAATTTAACTGTCTTAAAGTTATAGAACATGGTTTATTCTTCATACCTACTAAAGTCCACCTAGTATGCCTTAATATCTTCAGAAAGTAGTATATCAATTCTGGAGATGATGATTTTTCATTAAGAGCATAAAGATTGAAAATTTAATTGCTATATGAAGTAATTCTCAGAGTTTTATGGATTATCCAGTTATTTTGGCTATGAGCATAGTGAGGTATTTTTTTAACAACATATAGATTAGAATCATTGAGAAATCCTTTTGAAGTATCCATTCAGTGACCCAGTAAGTGCTTACTTAAGGCTAGTAAGTATATAAGTTTTGTGTGTTTTTTTAATGAAACTAATTGGTGAAATAGGTGCATTTTTAAATCATTATATATTCCTTTTCCTTTACTCTGAATTAAAAGAGTAAGAAGTGCCATAAATTTCAATCTTAGGAGAGAAGCTTATGGCATTTAAAATCTAAGCTGATTCTGTCATTCTACATTTGGAAAATGTTAGCATTTCATTTTTCCATTTGTTTTTACCTTTTTTCCTTTTTAGTCATTTTGTTTGTATAGTTTCATGTTTTCCTGTCACTATATTCATAGTTGTTATGTGTTGTGCATTAGAAGCATCCATTCTACACCAGTCCTGCTGTTGTCATGGCACACGGTGAACAGCCCATCCCTGGTCTCATCAATTATTCCCATCATTCAACAGATGAACGGGTAAGACAAGAGGCTTTTGCATTAATGATTTTCCAAATATATATTCTACTTCCTGTCCTTGGAGATAGGCTGTAACATATGGAAGATGTGTTGTTTTATTCTGATAGATTTTCAGCATTGCTTTCTTGTGAAAGTGTAAGTGCCATTGAGTATATCCATCAAGGAATTTAATAGAGTTTCTCCTGTGACTAAAGTATTCTGCTATCATTAAGATTCTGTCATTTGTGACAATGCACTTTTCTCAAATGACTAGCAAGAAATTCATTGCTCAGAAGTTATTTTTGTCTTACCAATTTCATCAGATAGCTTTAAATAAATTGCCTGGCTTAAAATTACCTCTTAAGAGAATCACTTTGAGTCTTAAAATCTAGACAGATTGGTCAAGCAAATAGTTGATTTGTATTAACCTTCCTATTTTTTCTCATGATTTTGCATCTTTTTTTTTTTCTTCATTCATTGGGCTCTCATTACAACCATTTGCAGAGTTGAATTTTGATATAAATTCTTTGATTCCTCATCATAAGTAAACTTTTTAGGTGCATATTTGTTTATTCAGTCACTGGCTCAATGATAGCTTGCAAAAAATGCCAGGTTGTAAAAGATTAAACTGATACATAAAAATCATTAAACACTGATAATTTAGACATTGGATGTAAAAAAAAAAAAAAAAAAAACTGATCTAAGTCCCTAATATGGATATAAAATGAGGGACAGAGAAGAAAAAGAAATAATAAAGGCTTTAAATACTTAGGAACCAAAACACCCAAAATTTGGAGAGAAAAAAACCAACAACTTAACATCCATAGTCTCTTACAAGATACTACCAAATGAAGACTTTTTAAAAATTTTAATTTTGTGGGGTACATAGTAGTGGATATATTTATGAGGCATGTGAAACATTTTGATACAGGTATACAATGGATAATAATCACATCAGGGTAAATGGGTATCCATCACTTCAAGCATTCATCATTTCTTTGTGTTACAAACATTCCAATTGTATTCCCTAATTTATTCTAAAATGTACAACAAATTATTGCTGATTGTAATCACCCTGTTGTGCTGTCAGAACTTATCCATTGTATCTAACTATATTTTAAGGTACCCATTAATCATCCCCATTTCCCACTCCCCCTCCCCACCCTCTCCACCCTCTGGTAACCATCATTCTACCATCTTTATCTCCGTGAGTTCAATTGTTTTAATTTTTAGCTCCCACAAATAAGTGAGAACATGCAAAGTTTGTCTTTCTGTGCCTGGCTTATTTCATTTAACAGTGTCCTACAGTTTCCATGTTGTTCCAAATGACAAGATCTCATTCTTTTTTATAGCTAATCAGTACTCCATTGTATATGTGTACCCCATTTTGTTTATTCATCTGGTGATGGACACTCAGGTTGATAATGCTGCAGTACACATAGAAGTGCAGATATCTCTTCAATATACCGATTTCCTTTCTTTTGGATATATACCTAGTAGAGGCATTGCTGGATCATATGTAGTTCTGTCTGTAGTTTTTTGAAGAACCTCCATACTATTCTGCTTAGTGGCTGTACCAATTTACATTCCCACCAATAGCGTACAAGTGTTCCCCTTTCTCCGCATCCTCACCAGCATTCATTATTGCCTATCTTTTGGATAAAAGCCATATTAACTGGGAAGAGATTATATCTCATTATAGTTTTGATTTGCATTTATCTGATGATCAATAATGATGAGCACCTTTTCATGTACTTGTTTGCCATTTGTATGTCTTCCTTTGAGAAACATCTATTCAGCTCTTTTACCCATTTTTAAATTGAATTGTTGTATGTTTTTTCCTATGGAGTTGTTTATATAGTCTGGTTACTAATTCCTTCTCAGATGCATAGTTTGCAAATATTTTCTCCCATTCGTTGCGTTCTCTTCACTTTCTTGATTGTTTCCTTTGCTATACAGAAGCTTTTTAACTTGATATGATCCCATTTGTTTGTTTTTTCATTGGTTGCCTGTGTTTATGGGGTATTACTGAAGAAACCTTTGCCTAGTCCAATGTCCTGGTGAGTTTCCCAATGTTTTCTTTTAGTAGTTTCATAGTTTCAAGTCATAGATTTAAGTATGTAAGTCTTTAATCCATTTTGATTTGATTTTTATATATGGCAAGAGATAGGTATCTAGTTTTAATCATCTGCATAAGGATATCCAGTTTTCCCAGCACCGTTTATTGAAGAGACTGTCCTTTCCCCAATGTATGTTCTTGACCCCTTTGTCAAAATGAGCTCACTGTCCATACATGGATTTGCTTGTAGGTTCTCTATTCTATTCCATTGATCTATGTGTCTGTTTTTAGTTCCATGATGAAAATGCTTTTTCAGCTACTATAGCTCTGTAGTATAATTTTAAGTCAGGTAGCATGATTCCTCTAGTTTTGTTTTTATTTTTGCTCAGGATAGCTTTGGTTGTTCTGGGTCTTTTGTGGTTCCGTATAAATGTTATGATTATTTTTTCTGTTTCCATGAAGATATTTTGATAGGGATTGCATTGAGTTCATAGATTGCTTTGGGAAGTATGGACATTTTAACAATATTGATTCTTCCAATCCATGAACAAGGAATGTCTTTCCTTTTTGTGTGTGTCCACTTCAGTTTCTTGCAAAAATGTTTTATACTTCATCATAGAAATCTTTTACTTCTTTGGTTAAATTTATTCCTATGTGTTTTCTTTGTAGCTATTATAAATGGGATTACCTTCTTAATTTCTTTTTCATATTGTTCACTGTTGGCATATAGAAATGCTACTAATTGGCCAGGCGTGGTGCATCACGCATGTAATCCCAGCACTTTGGGAGGCCAAAGAGGTTGGATCACCTAAGGTCAAGAGTTCAAGACCAGCCCAACCAACAAGATGAAACCCCATCTCTACTAAAAATACAAAAATTAGCCTGGTGTGGTGGCAGGCTATAGTCCCATATACTCAGGAGGCTGAGACAGGAGAATTGCTTGAACCTGGGAGGCAGAGGTTGCAGTGAGCTAAGATCTTACCACTGCACTTCAGCCTACGTGATGGAGCAAGACTCCATCTAAAAAAAAAAAAAAAAAAGATATGCTACTAATTTTTGTATGTTGATTTTGTATCCTGCCACTTTACTGAATTTGCTTATCAATTCTAATGGTTTTTTGTTGGAGTCTTTAGGTTTTTCTAAATATTGTATCATCTGCAAGGGAGGATAATTTGATCTCTTCCTTTCCAATTTGGGTGCTTTTTATATCTTTCTCTTGTCTGACTGCTCTAGCTAGCACTTCCAATGCTATGTTGAATAACAGTGGTAAAAGTAAGCATCTTTGTCATGTTCCAGGTCTTAGAGAAAAGGCCTTCAGTTTTTCCACATTCAGTATGATACTAGATGTGGGTCTGTTGCATATAGCTTTTATCATGTTGAGGAATGTTCCTTCCATACCCAGTTTTTTTAGGGTTTTTATCATGAAGCAATTGAATTTCGTCAAATGATTTTTCAGCATCAAGTGAAATGATCATATGGCTTTTGTCATTCATTCTGCAGATATGATGTATCACATTGATTGATTTGCATATGTTGAACCATCCTGCCATCCCTGGGATTAATCCCACTTGGTCATGATGCATGATGTTTTTAATATGTTGC